ATGGGAGCGTGCATGATTATACTGATTTGATTTTAGCAAAGTTGTTAAATAATTTCGATGGCAGAGATCTTTACATGAATTGGTTTGATATTTGATTTAGATGATTATCTTGCATTAACTTTTTGGTTTTATAAATAAGGCACAAATTACCTTTTTGAGCTAAATTATTTACATATATTCTTATATTTTTAATATTCTAAACTTCTGCTCTTAGTTTGTATACCATCTACGTCTTACTCACGGAGCCGATGATCACTGAGTCTGTGAGACTTACCCCCTTATTTTCCCTTTTACAGATAGTGATTGACCTAGCGTGCAATCATCGGTGCTTATGGTCCACTACGGATAGGTAAAGGCATCTCATAGCACTTTATTCTGAGTCACTCTACTATTAAAGGTCTAGTCATCTATAGCTTGAAGTATTTGTAAATAGTGTCAATAGAAATATGCAGTTAGATACTACAAACTCTAATGTATTCTTACAGTTTGGTGAATAAAGGATAAGTTGGTTTATTATGATTTCTGTACAATTCTGATTACAAGAGGTATATGATTCAAGCAATTTGATGGATTGATGGCATAATGTCTAAAGTTTCAATTAAGGCTTCTTCGGGATTTAGCGAGTTCACTCGTAAGTCTCGAACGCTAGTAACGATCAGGGTAAGAGGTTTTTACATGTCAACAATGGTGATCGAGAATGTGAGGAATGGTAGATTATATGTGGAACTCAAGCTAAAACCAAAAGGTAAACATGCAATACGAATGCATGGATTTATGTTGGCTTTATTTAGTTGGTAGTATGTGGATTATGTGTTAAATGATTATGAGTAAGGTTGATGAGAACCATGAAATTAGGCTACAGATTTATTGATTGATGTGCTGCCATGCATGTGAAAAATTAAGTGTATTGAGTTTATATGGTTGCTAGAAAGTGTATAAGTAAAAAAAGTGTGCTGTGGTGGCATGCTAGAGGAGGTAACGAATAACTAACGAGTAGAATTAGCTAGACACGCACCCGAATTGATAATGATGTAGTGTCCCGCTATTATAAAGTGAGTAAGGGATGCCGATTTTAAAATCTTCGTACTATATATCATTTTACATTAATAAACGTTGTTGGTTTTCCTTAAGTGCATTTATGGATAGAATGAGCTGTTAGCCTTGATAAGCCAATTTTAAAACTGATTTACAATGATTTATATATTGTTATTGTGGAAAGCGTGAGCTGGTAGAAACCATAGGAAATTGTGAGTGTAAGTGTTTTTAAAGTGATTTGGATATATCTATAGATAAGCTATATATGTAAAGAGTTTTAGAAACCAAAAAGCAAACCTTTCACGAGGTTTGCATCAAAATCTATGCCTTGTATTTTTGTGTGATATGCATAGCTAAATGCATTTGTTACATGATTTAAAATGCAAGTTTGAGCACTAGTTTTATTCTGATCTTTGTACAAACTGTTTACATCATGCCATTTAATGTGAAAAGCAATTTGAAGGATTATTGAACCTTGATTTCAAATGATTTAAAGGAAAAGCCTCAAAAAACTTGATTTGGTTGCTAAACCGGTTTTGACAAATCGAGAGCGTTGAGTGTAGGCTGGCTGTCACTTCCGTTAAATGTGATCTTTCTGCACAAGTGAGCTCTAGCTAGAGAACTATTGGGTGGCTGATGAGCTATTAGACATGGCTGAAGCCATAGTTTGTGATATATGTGGCAAGGCCACGGGTTGTTATATGTGGCTAGGCCACTAGTGATATTCGTAGTTACGACCGCTTGATTTCTCCGATGTCAACCAACATCGTCGAGACTACCATGGTTGTAGGGATCCAGTGGAGCAGAGCTCTCGGATGTTATTACCTTGAAGTGGGTCTATAAGTGATTAAGATACTTACCTACTCGGGAGCCTTGTGAGTTTTTCGACTCGTACTCTTTTGCATGGTGGAGAAATAAGATTTCTTTGGGGTTCCCTTTATTTGAATAAAAGCTTCCAATGCTTACTTGACAATCATGAAATGGTTTATGTGGCTATACACTTTGATTTCTTTGCATGCCACACATTTTGGGAGTGCATACTTTCATACTGTTATTCATATTTTGATGGCAAGTGATGTTTTTTATGATTGAACTCTATTTTGCTACGCTTGTTTTCGACACCATTTTGCCAAGTGAAATATTGCATTATGATTTATGTCATTATTTTTACAAGGCACAAATATCCTACATATGATTTGGTTTCTTAAGATTATGATTTGATATTCCGATTTTATTATTCAACTTATCTACTTTAAGCTTGTTTCCCATCTATGCCCTACTCACCGAGCCAATGATCACTGAGTTTGTGAGACTTACCCCCTTATTCCCTGTGTAGATAGTGATTAGCCTAGCATGCATTCATCGGCATTTTCAATCCACTGTGGATAGGTAAAGTCATCTCATAACACTTTATTCTGAGTCGCTTCACTACTGGAGGTCGAGTTGTCATAGTGTAATTTGTTACAAAATTAGACAATAATGTCAATAAGAATGTACATTTGGAGATTATACATCATGATGTATTATTATTTACGATTATATGGAATAAAGATTTAGTCAATTTATAAAGACTGCTGTTCAATGCTTATTACAAAGAGTTGTATGGTTCAAAGTAACTTTATAGATTGATGGCATGAATATGAAGTAATAATTAACGTTTGAAGTAAGGCTTGTTTGGGACTTGGCGAGTTCTCACGCGAGACTTAAACGCCGATAATGATCTAGGAGCGGTCATTACAATGTTTATGTTTATGGATATTGAACATGTTTATGATGATGTAGCCAATGTGTGACATTTTACTTTATGAATGTTATGGATAAATGTGCAAACGTAGCTTGAGAGCCTAAATGAACACTCAAGGGTGTTGATCAATGTTATATGGTACATTGCATGAGATCATGGCACTATATATGATGATAATGAGAAATAAACACACTTACGCTATTTATGTTGAGAAGTTCCACAAATGTGTATAATTGCCTATGGATGCATGCATATGTTTAATATTGTATGATTTATGATGATTATGGTTAATGGGCGAAATTATGGATGAATGAATGTAAGCAGGCTTGCTTGGGCCTAGCGAGCTATTCCTGTTTGGATTCATGCATCCATCATATCCCACTATAAAACGGGACATGACATATATATATAAGGTTTAATAATATATGAAGATATATGATATGTTATGTTGATGTCACGTATGTTCACAACGCTCTCTTAGGTTTAGTAGCTCTTGTTTGCATAAGCTCCTACATCGATCATGACTCAAAATTGGGTCATGATAAGTTTTCCTCAACCAAATGGTTTCACTATCTTTGAGAATATAATGATTTCTAATTTTTGGGATTTTTTTGCTATTATTGTCTATTAATTTATATGTTCTTAAATTTCTTTTTCATTTTTAGGTTTCGATTTAGTTACTAATTTTATGCATCTTATTAGGTAATTATTGATTTAGTGTCATAAATATAGTTTCTGTTCTAATGTTTTTACTAGTTGTTAAATTTATTAACTCTAAGATGATTATGGTTTTAAAATGACAAAAATGATAAAAAGGCTTGAATGATCTTTGAACTTGTTTGAATGATTTTTTAAGTTGTTTAAATGAGTTTTTAATTTTAATTTATTCACCTTTGAAGTGCCTAAGTTCTTCCATGTGAGAAATGATAAAAAATGCTTGAATGATCTTTAAACTAGTTTGAATGATTTCTGAAATTGTTTGAATGAGTTTTGAACTTAAATTAAGAATGTTAAAAATCTTATACATTTGCTTTTGAAGTGCATAATTGATTCCATGTGCAAAATTTCAAAATTAGTTGAATGAGATTTGAATTGCCTAATTGAGTTTTGAATTTGGTTAAATATGTTTTAAACCCTCCTTACTTTTACTTTTGAAATGTCCAAGTATTTGGCCTCATATTGTGTTAGAAAAGAAGCACTTTTTATGTTTTAAGCTAGAAGTATCGATACCTTAGCATTAGGTATTGATACATTTTACAAAAAATGCTTCTAGATGCTTGGTATGAATACCTATCCTAAAGGCATGGATACCTATCTCAAAAGTATCAATATCTAATGAAAAGTATTGATACATTGACCAAATGTATCGACACTTAGTGAAAGGTATCAATATTTGAGTTTTAAGACTATCTGTTAGACATGAAAATTGAAAGGAAAACTAGCTAGTTTCATCACCAAACCTTCTCCAATGGCTCCAAAACTTCTCATACTAGAAACAAATAAGTAAAAGAGTAACAAATAATCCAAGCTACATGAAGAATTTCACCAAAATCCAAGATAATGCTATTTAGCTCATCATAGTTATAGTAAAGTTTAATATTTCAAGAAAATAACTCATTTTTCAAACAGAAAGAAAGAGAAAAATAGTGAGAGAGAAGATTTGCTACAGCTTTTGGAACCAAATCTCATTGGATTTCTCCCATTTTCTGGTTCTGTACAAAGCTTCCTTTTCCTAAAAACATTCTCTATTACCAGCCCCCTCTTAAAATGGCCTAGTTATATTAATTATAAGAAACTACACACACACACGGAAATCCATTTGATCACATTTTTTTGATTGAGTTGAGATGTAAGTTGGAGCAATATTTATGCTTTGCTTTAAGTAGGGATATAAGTTAAATAATTAGGAAATTAAATTGATCTTTGACTTGGCGCAATAGACTTGTAGTTAATTGATTTTAGCTTTCATGTTTTTTACTTTTGTTTTAAAGGTTTGCTCGAGGAGTAGCAAACTATTAAGTTTAGGGGTGGTTTCATTCAACATTTCACTTGGATTGTTATTTCTCTACTTGTTTAATTCAATGGGGGTTGATGCTAATCTAGAATCCTAATGCATGCACAATCTTATGTTTAGGTATTTGTATAATTGCCTAGATTAATTGAATTTCTATATGTCTATATGATTCAATTAAAGTAGGTTCATTAGGCACAATTTCTATTTACACTATATGTGGCTATCAACGCATATTATCCAAACCTAGGTCTAATCTAAACTAACTTTTTCAAGTCTCATGTGGATACCATAACCATTCAATTAGTGATCAAGCAATCAATGGTCAATAAATTCATATTTGAATAAACGTTAACATACCCATTCAAAGCAAGTAAAAGAGCAACACATAATCCAAGTTATACGAAGCATTCTGCAAAAATCCTAGATAAAAACTATTTAGCTAATTATAGTTACAGTAAAGTTTAATATTTCTTGAAAAAAACTAATTTCTATAGTAAAAGATAGAAAGAGAAAGATAAAACTATTGAGAGAAAAGATTTGTTATAGCTTTTGGAATCAAATCTCCTTGGATTTCTCCCATTTTTTCCTTTTATAGAAAGCTTTCTTTTCCAAAAAAAATTCTCTACCTCCACCCCCTCAAAACCCACTTAGAATGGCATATTTATATCACACTTTAAATTCCCTTGTAGACAATTTTGAACATGTGCAGGATTAAATTCGCAGCTGGTGCCTAGGCACTAGGCTCTCTGTCTTGTGCTATGGTGGTTGAGGGATGGTGAGCACCATGATGCTGAGTTGCTAGCGCTAGGCTCTCTGTTTGCTACTGTGCAGTCTACAATAGTCCTTTAGCTTCTGACGCAATTTTAATCATGATCTAATCAGAATTGGGCGTAGTGATAAAGATGAAAGTTGTAGCCCTTTCTCTTTGCTTTTTAGCAATCCAAGAATACTAGCAATTAGACTTTTCGTGGCTTAGGTTGAGCTCAAAAAAATGTAGCATGTTTAAGAGACACTTGAAGTTATTTGGCACAGTTCATCATCTTTTGAGATCTCTTGCACATAAAAACTTTTAATAACAATAGGATCAAATCAATGATGGCTCAAATTGGGGTTTTTAAAATGAAATGAAATTAAAATAATTAAACATGCATAAAACTTATTAAGGAAAAGCAAGAAAACTACTTAAATGCAACTTAAAAACACAAGGACTTAACTCTTTTTATGCCTAAAAATAATGCAAGGTAACTCTATATAATATAGTTAGCACTCTTCCATGGGCACATCCCTTCTTGTGGGTTTCTTAGCTTTAAAATATTTCCTCATGAACCTATTAAACTTTCTAGCTAGCATGGCCATGTTTTCTTCTTTTTCACTTTAACTCTTTTAGCTTTTCTCTTCTTCTTCAATCATAGACTTAAAAGCTATCCCTTTTTTCTTAGTGTCTTCTTTCTTAAAGTCCGTTGACTTACTCTCAGGTTTCAAAGTCATTTCATATGTGAATAAAGATTTTATTAATAACTCTAACTTAAAGTTATTAAGTTTTCTAACATCTTCTATAGCCGTGACTTTAGCCGTGACTTTAGGTCTCCAAGTCTTATGTAGGATATACAAGATTTTCTTCACAAGTTGGGCATTTGGAAAGTCTTTCCCCAAAGTGTTTAAACCTCCAATAGTGTTAGTAAACCTCTAAAACATCACATTTATAGACTCATCTTCTCTCATCCTAAATAGTTCATAGTCAGGAGCAAGCAATCCAATGTTGGATTCCTTAACTTGGTTAGTTCCCTCATATGTGGCTTTTACGGTATCCCAAATTTGCTTGACAGTTTCACACATTGACATCTTATTAAGTTCACTGGCTCCAAGGCACAAAGAAACGTATTATAAGCCTTGAAATTTACTTGAATTAATTTTTTACCTTTATCATCCCAATCTTTTTTAAACTTAATGACTACTTTCCTGTCTACATCCTCACTTAGAACACGTGGACCATCTAGTCGTACACTCGAAACATCTAAGTCCATTGATTGTATAAACATTTCCATACTTTTCTTCCAATAGGGGTAGTTATTACTTACAAAAAAGGTGGCTTTTGGATTGATTGTCTCTCACTCCTCACCTCCATATTTGTCGATTTGAGCTTGCACAATGGATCTCTCAAAGGCTGTTAGGCCTATAAAATTTGAGACCAAGTTTTAATGCCAATTGTTGATGTAGAAGTCTCAATAAGTAATATACCAGAAGAAGGGGTGAATTGGTTTTTAAAAATTCTTTTGAAAACTAAGTATAAAAATCAAGACTTTTACAATAAAAAATTTCTTCTTATGTCAAAAATAAAATGTGTGATTTCCCTCAGCAACTTTTCAATAATAAATTGAAAAGAAAAAAAAGTAACAAATCAAGGTAAAATATTCTCCTGAGCCAAATGCAAGTAATGCATAAATAATGAACCAAGGTAAAATATTTTTCCAAGCTAAATGCAAGTAATAAATCATAATGTGGAAAAATTAAAAGCAAGACACAAGATTTTTATAATAGTTTGGCTTTCTCTAGTGCCTGCATCCACTCTCTTGGAACACTAAGAAATTTCAAATCCACTAAAGAAAATGAGTTTTTTATGGGATCAAGCGAAACCCTTACAATAGCTTTTTCACAAGATCAGGCAAAATGAAGCTTTTTCATAAGATCAAGTGAGACCTTCCAACAATAGTTTTTCACAAGCTCAACCACAAATCCATAAATAGCTTTCCAAAGTAAGCTAGAACTTTTACAATAAAGTATAGAGTTTAGCAAGAAAATACC